CCCCCCCTAGTCCAGTCAATCACGGGTTTAGGTTTAACTTTGCTTCTCCTTTTCTTCAGAAAGTCCAAATTAAGGGTTCAGCTTTGAAGAACGACTTCACTTTCATCTCGAGCAAGATCTCAAAGTGTGAGTTCATCTTTGCTCTTCAAGTTATGAAGACCAAGAAGACTTCTCCAGGCGCAGATCTTATTTCTTGGCAGATAATAAAGAATCTCCCTATTAAGATTACCGATTACATTCTCGATCTTTTCAATGAATTCCTACGTAGAAGCTGCGTTCCTCCTTCCTGGAAGAGATTTGTGATGGTTTTCATCCCGAAGAGCGGCGGGGACTCTGGCTTCCGTCCAATCTCGCTAACCAATAATTTTTTGAAATTATTCGAAAAAATCCTCCATCACAGACTTGAATGGTGGGCAGAAAATATCGACATTATTCCTCAATTCCAAAGGGGGTTCAGGTTGGGTAGAGGTTGTACCCATAATATTCTTGACCTCAAGCAATTTATCGTAAACGCTTTCGACAATGATTTAAAAGTAGGCGCTGTCTTTCTAGATATAAAGGGCGCATTTGATAATCAACCCTTTGAAACTCGAGTGTCTTCTTCTTCATATGGGCTTCCCAGCCAATCTCACGAAGGTCATTATTAATCTCCTGATGGACAGAGAGATTCTCGGCTTTTTGAGGGGCGAGGTCCTGGGATCCAGGAGGTGCTCGTTAGGCTTGCCGCAGGGCTCGGATCTGAGCCCTTTACTTTATAATATTTATACCGCTGGAGTGTCCTTCGGTCTCGAGAAGGGAGTCAGGGTTCTTGCCTATGCAGACAACTTAGTCATTTTTGTCAGACATAAATCTCTAGAATATATTTGCACTAAACTAAAACATAACCTTTACCTGCTTGGCCGCAACCTTCAGTCGCTAGACCTCACGCTCTCCATGTCTAAGACTAAATTCTGTTTGTTTGACAAGAAATCTAGATTTTCTACTCTGAAGAAAAAATATGACTCGCTTAGTATTAAAATCAACTACAACGGAGTTGATATCGATCTTTCCGAAAAAGCTAAGTTTCTGGGAGTCATATTCGACTACTGTTTGTCTTGAAGGGAACAGGTGAAGGCAATGGTCAGATCTTGTTACCCCAGAGTTAAGATTCTCAATGCTATTAGTGGAGTAAGGTGGGGCTCCCACCCTCTCTATTTTAGGAGCATACAGGGGTCTTATTAGATCAGTCCTTGACTACGGTGGAGCGCCTTTGCTCGAAGTTTCTCCTGCGCTATCTATTAAGCTGGACAGGATCCAGTTCGCCTCTTTAAAATGTGTCTTGGGTTGTTTGTGCACAACTCCCACTAATATCCTGCTGGATCAGTGCGGAGAATGGCCGTTAGTTGTGCGTAGACTTTTTGCGGTGACCAGAATCGCTATTCTAATCACCGCAATTCTAATCTGTTTGATCGTAGTTTGATCCTAACTTCTCCAATTCCCTGATATCCCGCCTTTTCTTTTCTCGCTCGCCGTCCTCTGTTTCTGCCAGCTGCTAGGAGGACACTCCTGAGATTCTCAGAGCTATTAAATCTAGATCGGATAACGTTCCCAGCAAACACAAAATGTAACTGCAACGTAATACAGGAGTAACACGTAATATAACGAATGTTATATTTAATTAATGTCGAGGTTATATATCTTTATTTTATTAACGCAATATAACATGTAAATAAAATTGTTATATTATTAGTTACTTTCTGGTTATAAGAAAATTACATTAATGTAACTTGGATGTAACATGTTACACAAGAAATGTTACATTTATGTAATTTTGATGTAATGTTACAATTTTCATATGCAATATATAACTATTTTAACATAGTTACATTGCATTGTTGCCACATACATGCCACTTATTGTTAATTGTACAGAATTAATTTGTAATTAAAAGCCGGTAAGTAAATTGATGATGAAACAAGTAGATAAATTTTGAATATTATATTTCTTATATCAGGATTAAATTGATTAAGATATCCTTTAAGAGGATAAGGATTTAAACTTTTGAATTACGCGGTCTATTGTGGCTGAACCAACATTCATCCAGATAACGGGTGCGT